TTTCTCGGAGCTTGGCGAACATTTCTCACTTGCCTGACCTTTTCGCTTTGTCCAATCCGTTGCGTCCCAAGAGGACAGTTACAGTTAACTAGAGAATTCGGAGAACCCTCAAGGAGGAACCCTATGAAGCAGATCATTTCCAGGGCAACCACCTCTTTAAGAGCGGAGCAGTCCTTTCGCTTCCGACCTTGCCCTATGGAATCTGATTCTGAGGGCTCTTGCTCGGCTGAGGTTGCGAGGCGAAGTTCGGGCCCAACGGGAACGCCCAGTGCTGGGCAACTTGGCGACGGATGGAACACTCGCCGGTGCGATAGGGAATGACTTTCCGAGTTTCTGGGTGTTGCATTCGACGGAACTGGTGGAAGGGGATGCGCGAATAAAGGAAACCATAGGATGGATTAGGGGTCATTCCGACTCATGCCCTGCTCAGAACCAGCGAGAACATTGGAGATGTCCCCATGTTAGGGTTGATGCCCCATTTTCAAGGGTGGGGTCCAGGTTGTTGCGATGTGCCAGGGATGCTTGTCGCTTGGCGAATGGGCTCCCATCCTTGGTTCGTGGATATCAAGTTCACTTGCTGATCAAAAGGTGTGGTGATTGGCAGCTAACTCGAGGGATGTGTAGGGAGCCCTCTTGTTTAATTCGGAAAGAAAGCACAACACCGTGGATGGAGTCTCTAGTTTTGCTGCATGTTGCATGGTATGACGACACCAAGCCCTGATAGGCGATAGGACTTTGCTGTATTGAGTCGCCCACGGGGATGGGGCGAAAGGATCGGGCGGCGAGGTACCTGGCAACTTGTGGCGTACTTGGCTTTCAAAGCTCTGACAAAGATGAGCAGCGCCAAGCATTTCGCGATTGACCATCCTCCAGTACTGGATTCTGCTTGATCGGGACCGAAATATGGGCTTGTCAGTCATTCGATGTTTAATTTGAATCATACCCGCCCGATAGAGGGGTTGGGGGGGGGGGGGGTCGTTCTTTGCATGGGGGGTGGGGTCGAACAACAATGGGAGGGGGGTTGTTCTTCGGGGGGGGTTATTGTTTCGAACAATAATGGGGGGTGATGAATGATGTTTCCTGAGTGCATGCACATATCATATTTGTGGGGGCATGCACCTCTTTGTTTTCGCCGGCACTGAGCTGGCGATTAGTAATTAGCACAAGGTCTCAGACGGCCGGATTGCATACAGCTGTTAGTGACCTTCCAACTATAAGCACCAAGACAAAGAATTGGAAATCCGTCTATTAATCTCCGTTCGGCCTCAGCTACTCAGCTTTTGCACAGACTTTTTCACAGCGTTCGGCCAGGGTTTTCGGCTTTTTCACACAGACTCAGAGGACGTGGAATTGCTCTCCAGCTAAGGATGGTGTCTACAACTACGACAGGTGTTGCTTCCCAAAAGAGGAGCTGTGAGCCATTTTGGCGAGTGGGCCTCCGGGCCCAGTGCGAGATTTGGGGCTTGGGACCAATGCGCAGAACTTCCAAGTTGATGTTGACCCCTTACCTGCCGATACACGAAGGCGTCCCCTACGACCACCTTCCACAGGACCAAAGGACTGCCGGTTCCTCATTTGGGGTCAACATTGGTACGTGTTACAGGAGAAGTTGCTGAGACTCACAGCAGGCAAGCTGGAAAAAGGTGCCAGGGGTTGGAACGTGGACGCCAAACATGGTGGCGTGGCCAGTTTTTGATGGAGGGACACCGGGTTGGTGCATCGTTTTCAAGGGTAAATCATGTTACAATGCAAGCATGGTTTGACGGGGAGCAATGGTGAATATAGAAAACAGCCAACTCGTAAGGTGCTAGCAGTCTCATCAGCTCAAGTTGCTCTGGCTCTTGGTCCGGCGTGGATGCAGCGTCAAGCCAAACTGACCTGACTTCGGACCTGACTATGTGGCATCCCTTTGCTTGGCAATCACCTATCTCAGTCGAAAACAACGTATACAGTGTACAACCCAGCTTTTTCAGGAGAACATGCCACACAATTTGGGGACAGTCACAATGCCCATGTTGACAGCTTGTGCAGGAGTTTCCTTTTGTTGGATATATCAGTACTATGTTCGAGGGGACTACAGCACATTACAACAACAGTTCTTATTCTAAAGTGTGATTACTCATGGGTGGACTTCTTTTCAAATCTCGGTGATTGACAGAGCTGTGACCCGCTTTCAGCTCTGTTCTTTTTTGATGCATTGGACTTTTTCGGGACAGCTGAAGTAGGTCACGAGTAAACCCAGAAATGTGTTTGCCACGTCGAAATATGTTCCAACTCCACGGTGTGCTTTACACTTATTAAGCCCCAGGTGTTCCTACTTGGAGCCCAGCCGAAATCGCCCAGTTGCTTTCCGACATTGGGTTTTAATACATATAAACAACATTGGGGAGGTTTGTTGTTTGTGTGTTTTCTTTCATAAACACCCAACAAACCCAATGTGTTTGTAATGGACAACAAACACACAATGCACACAGAGGCGCGTGGTGAACAATTTCCAGCGATGATCACGAGCATAAGTGCATATGCATCCAATCCTAGCTAGCAAGTTGTTTTTGTGGCGCTTTGTTTCCTTATGATATGAATGTAGAACAACATACAGTGCAGATTAAGGGAGGTCTTCGAACTTAAGCAGGTTCAGCGATTCAAACAAGCCAGACAAGACGATGACATCATCAGATTTCTTGTTGGGCAATCGGTTCACCCTCCATTTGGGGGCAAGCAATACTCAGCTTTTGACTCGACCAGAGCATCCATTCTGTTTCAACTGATTCAAAATAGGGTGAATCCTCTTTGGGATGGGAAATCAAAAGGGATCAACCACTTGGAGACCACTTCTTTGGCTTGCCTCCCTCAAGACAGACATTGCACGGGTCAGACGAAGCTTTGCAAGTAGACCAACCACGTCCAACCAAGAAATTGCGTAAATTGTGGTTGCCCGCGTTCCCCTACTTGCAACACCGATGGATCAAATGCACTTCGCAGCAGTTGGGAAGGATGAAGCCATCCATCAGTATAATGTTGACTCCATATTAATATGTGTGTGTTCTTTTTGAATGAGGGGGTGTCCCTGGCTGAAATGTGGGGCACCATCACTTTTGGAGAGGCCCCCACCCCCCTATGAATAAACTGGGGTTGATGAATACGGGGTCAACAGTACAGGCCCTGTATACTCTAGGAACCATCGCTCGCAGGCGCTGGCGCTGGCGGCGGCGGCGGCGGCGGCGGCATGCAGTTCGACCCCGCAGCCGGGCAGCCCAGAGGAAATCGCCGATTCGCGGCCAATTCTTCATGTCACGTTGAGGTGAAATCAAATGTGGAATCCAGCAAACCAGGAAGCCTTCCAGGAAATGTTTTTCCCTAGGCCTCGTTTTTGGGGGGTTTGGCTACAGTAGCTTCCTGAGTTTCCTGCTGGCTTCTAATGAGTGCACCTGCAAAAGCATGGCCAACAGGGATCCCTGCCTGCAAGGCCCCCAATGAATGCGTTGGATTCCGTGGCTTGGACTAGTTCCAACATGTACGTTCGGTTTGTTTCGTATGCACTATGCCCTGTTCAACGGGTGCCTCTTTGGCTTCGCAAGATTGCGTTGATCAAGCCTCAGCCTTCGGGCAGCTTACACGGTTATGATCACGCTGATGTGCAGACATCAGAAGGCCAGGCGTCAAGACTTCCTGTGTATTGGCTCGGACCAGGTTCCTGGGATTCGAGTGTTTTTGATCCCTGGACGGCAAGCGACCACTGGCCCATCGTTGCCTGGTTTTGCTTGGTTTCAATCAGGAAAAGGATGGATCCTTAGGAGGCCAGACACCTCTCTCCAGTGCTTTTGTTGATACCCCATGTTGAGATGCAGTCTTTGAAGTCCTGGGTGTATCTTCTACAATGAAAGGGGCTACCAAACATCGTCTGCTATTCTTCTACTGTGGATGGACGAAATCCTGCACCACTTGGAAACCATGGGAAACCATTGTTTGTTGGTATTTACAGCGGAATCATCATTCCAGGGTTTCTTAGGTGGTGCAGGATTTTGTACATCCACAGTATGAAGCTACCCTCCCGAAACCTCCCGACCCCTGCACCCGAGGCCCTGGCTGCCGCCGCAGCGAGGAACCCCAAGATCAAGGCAGGACGTTGAGGGCCCCAGGGGAGTTGCTCCGTTTGGTTTTCCTCACTTCCCGAGTTCCGTTTCGGACTTAGTCGCTTTTGGGTTTGGACCGTTTTAGTGGTAAATGATCATTTTGGGTTTTTTTTGGCCAGTCCTCTCAGCACGTGAGATTCTTTTGACCTGAGCGTCCTCAAAACCGCTTTGGGTAGATGACGGCTAAGGGAGAATCCCAACCGCAAATGGGTGCAGCCGCCTTTTCGATTCTGTACATGGTCCTGGGTAGACTACTTTGATTCTGGGCTTTGATTCTGACTCATCACAACGTCCAGCTGTGGGGCAATGAACCCCACTCCCCCAGCTCGACTTGAAGCTTGCGAACAGCTTCGGTTGCCAATCCACAGGCCCAAGGATTTCGATCCTGGATCCGGGGCTTGCGAATGAAATCACCTGCCGCGAGCAAGAGACGGCTTGATATGCATTCCGAACTTGTCGCTCTCGGGACAGTTGTTGCTGCTTTGGATACCTGCGGCTGATTGGACTTGGACCCATTTTGTTCATGTTTCACGAGGATACCCCCCCATTGCCACAATCCCCCAGAAAGAAGACAACTTCTGCAGCTGTGAACCTTGGTCGACTAATCCCCTCGAGTCAGAAGAGACTGTTGCTAGCTCCCTTTCCATTACGCAAAGTGGTTATCAGCACGAACAGTTCCGAGAGCATTTTTCTGAGCATGCCATGAGGCTCTCATGCCAGTTACGCATTCAGAGTGAAGATCCACGGCGTTTTTCATGGAAGCGGATTTGCTGACTCGCGCCTTGTGTCGACGGCAGCTGCACATGTGAACCACCCAAGAAAAAGAGGCAAGGCCAGACAGTCTGCACCTTTCCAAACAAAAGTGCCATGGAAGCCTGTCCCAAAAGCCAGGTGATTGGCAACGGAGTCCGTGCACTTCCGTCTTTCTTCATGGGAGAGCATATACAGTCACTTTTCCCGAGAATGTGTGACGCTCAGTTTAGGAGAAAACGAGTTTGGATCCAAACAAACATGAGGTAATGACTCGGATACGCAAACTCCGCGCTGCCAGGAGTACATGCAGGACAAAGACTTGATGCAGAAGGCCACGATCTTCCACTGTCGGACTCCGGTGAATGGATACAATCCACGCCATACACCAGTTGGCAAGTGGCTTATCCCAGTTTTCATGGGGATTCAGTTGTTGTTCATCCGAAGCAGGTCAGGCAGTATGTTTTTTGTTTGCTGTATCTCAGGTTCGTGGAATCTGGCACTGGCTCATGCCAAACAAAGAAAACAGTGTGTCTTGTTTGAGGGCACGCCCTGGTTTCAAAGGGCAAGCAAAAGGAAAGCCAAACATTTTGGGGTTCCGCTAAAAATCGACACCCCCCCCCCCATAATATAGATCCCATGAATTTGAGATCCACGGACCTCTTGGGGCCCCAAAAGGGCGCCTCTCAGGTGAACATGCTGGGCTCTATGAGCGGGCAGATGCAGCAGACCATGGTGATGCAGATGGTGCAGCAGGCAAGCGTCCCGTGCCCGCAAGGTTGGGTCGATCTGTTGAATTTTAGGGGGTGTCTTCTTTTGGGGGGTACCCGATTTTGGGTGGTGGTCCGGGGAAACCAACAGCAACATCGTCGAACACCATATGTTTTTTTTTTTTTTTTTTTTTTTTTTTTTTTTAAACTCTCTTGAGGGGGGTCCTTAAACCACCCCTTCTGGCGATTGTGATTGAGCAAACTCATGCCGGTATATCAAAGTCATGAGCAACTTTGCTGCGTTTCTTGTGTCAGGGTATCAGCTTCCCCCAATTTGGTGGTTTGGTTTGGTGGTGCAATCGTTGTTTCAGGATCCTTTCGGCACTAAGCACCTCCTTGTTGCACAGCGTGCGATGCGTGTCGCTGGATGAATCTTTGGGCTGCGGCAGATTCTGAGGCAAACCAATGGTGTTATTTTGGGGTAGGTGCACCACCCGTCTATTTTAGTGGGGATTGGGATGTTTACTGAAAATACGGGATTTTGACCCATGGCCAAATGGCCACCAAAGAACTGCGACACTTTTCCGGCGGACAACCATTCGTGGGATCCATCGAGGTTGCCACCGTTCAAGCTCATGGCACAAAGAAAGAGCGGGCTTGTAGGAGAGCAGAGGTTTTTCAAGCTTGGAGCTTTGTTGTTCGTTCTGTTTGCTTCATAGAAACCGACAATATTACCACCAGATGCCGATTGGGGCCTACCCAAAACCGATCACCAACCCGCAAAACCCATAGATACGCATCCACAATCGATCACCCGATGATATTGTCCCGTTGCTCATACATTCCGGGAATCATCCCTACACCTCAGTGTTTCTTTGAGTATCGGAACCCCGGAAAAGATGTGTGTGTTTCCATTTCCCTTGAAACCAGCACCCAGAAGGCACAGCAAATGTTTGTTTTCCTTTAGTTTCCCTTGAAACCACCCACTAGTTGCCCTCAGAGCAAGAGGCACCGACTTTGCTGGGAGCCGCGCGCCAGGACCAGCGAGTTCTAGAGCTCTTCTTGGCGATGCAGGGCATGGACATCAGCACCATGAGCGTCTCAGATTGCATGTTTTGTTTCAAAAATAAAATAAACATTTAAAAGAACATGTTTAAGGGTAAACAACACCAGTTGTGTTTGTGTGTGGTGTGTGTGTGTGTGTGCGTTTCTTAAAAAGAGAACAAACACTTTAAGGGTAGACAACTGCAGTTGTGGTTGTTGTTTAACGAAAGCAAAAGTCAAACCATCCATTTGAGCCACCTAGTTTGACACGCAAGTGAGTCATGGAATTTGGGTATGTCTCGTGAGAATGAGGCCACCCCTGTTTGGATGGGGTTCAACAGAGGCAAGCCTGTATTTGTTTGGCTCCCTGTGCCTGCGAGCCTGCGTGCGTTCCCGCCTGCCTGCCTGCCCGCCTGCCTGCGTGCCCGTGTCTGTGTATTTGCGTGTCTGCGTGTCTGTGCAGACAGGGCTTTCACGAGCACGCAGAACCTCCACTGTCGCCAAGGCCCCGAGGACATGGAGCGACCCGAGCCAGTCACCCAGTTTTAGCTGCAAAAGTTTGGGATCGGGGTCGTCACTGTTATATACATATATGTATATACGTATATATATATATATATATATATGTATATGTATATGTAACATGCATATTACTATATATAATGAGTATGTTGTATGTCTCAATAGAGGTCCCTTACCGAAACAAGCAGGACATGGAAGACAAGAGCAATGCGTTTTGACCATCGCACCTTATGCAACTTCCCGCTATTCAATATGGCTTTCAGCCCTGGGCGCTTGGGCAAATCCCAAGCGACCATTCCCCACGTGCCGTGAAGATTGATTAGGCTTCCAAAGTGCCATGCTGTTGGTTCTGCAAGTTGATTTGGCTAGATTTGTTTTTGTTTTTTTGAAGGAACCTCAACCACGGTTGAACATAAATCCCAACCCAACTGATGGCCGCCCAATGGTCCCTAAACTTCATACCCACACGAAAGGAGCCGGTCTTTTTTCGTCAATGGCTGTCCAAGTCTGCTTTGTGGGTGCTGACTTCCTCCAAGCTGAGCCAGGTCGGTTTGCTTTTGGCAATCCATGGCCAGGGGTCTCCTCTAACTTGTATTTTTTAGATTTTAGGGTAGACTGAATATGGGCGTGCAATTGTGAGTTTTCTTGTTGGTTTTCCTTTAACGCCACACACACTTTAAAGCACAAAAAAGGAGTAGCTTCAAAACAAGACACACCTATGTATGACGGATAATCCGAACCTATGATTTGTGTACCCCAGATGTGGGCCAAGAATAGCCTTGACAGGGAACTGGAGGTTGGCGTCCTGGCTAGTTTGTGGGGGACTGGAGCCGGTTGGACCTGGAATTGTGTTTGCGCTGCCCAGATGCTTTCAGCTCAAGCCTTAAGGTTTAAGAAGGGGATGGATGAGGGTAAGAGTTGGTAAGCATTGGTGACCAATCAGAGGGACTCTAGAGTACTGCCAGTTGTTTTCGGATCGAATAAGACTCTACAGTACAATTTTGAAGTGGCTTCTCCGGCTTCATTCCTCTAACATACTGTACCAACATATTACTAACAAAGGACCAACATGGGGAAGACCAATCGGTGAAATCCGCAGGCGCATCCAACCCGTTTGCTCGAAGGAGGCGCCTACCAAGGCCCGCGGCCCCAAAGAAGGAGCCGCCCAAGAAGGAAGAGAAGGCTCCAGAGGACTTGGAACGATGGGAAGTCTGGCGAAGCGATTGTCTCATGGGGCAACCTGTGGGCCGGCTTGTTTTCCTCTTAAGGTTGGAGCTTTTTGGCACAGGGCCAACCATTGCGTTCAGGAACCCTGTGAGAGGATTTGGGTGTGTCTCAATCAAGAGACCCCGCCCAAATCGGTTCTTATCTATGTTTCAGCCAAAAAAAACAAGCCTTTGCTCAGGGGAGAGCTCCGATTTTCGGAGGCTGCCCTCCCTGAACTGGTCACCGGGTTTTGCAATTTGAGGGCGGCTGGTTGCTCCACCACACCTAGGCAAGGTTTGTATAGCCTTGGAAAGGCTTCTGAGAACCATTCAGGTGGGGCCAATGATTGGGCCTAAAGGCTGAGACAGGAGTCTGTTCAAGCGCTGAGCTTGTAATGACAAACGCAGGACAACAGAACCCCTGAGCAGAAGGAGGCTGATGAATGGAAGAACAAAGGCTGGGATCTCGGAGCTCATCCCAGTTGCCCAGTGAAGTCCACCCCTTTCTCCGACGCGGTTTTCCGGAAGTGTTTTCCTGTAGAGTCAACCAACCACGTAACAGGTGCCCTGTTTCTCCCGTGGAAAATCAGACCAGCCGAGTTGCGTCTAGGGCGCGGCATGCAAACAGCACAGGCAATGAGCTGTACAAGAAGAAGCAGTTCAAGGAAGCACTTGAGATGTATGACAAGGTGCCGCCGTGGGCCATGTTCTTGTGAGAGCTCCCGGTTCCTGCATTTGTTTTGCCTTTCAACACACTCGCCACGAAGCGTTGGCGGGAAATGGCAAGAGCCAGGCCATTGCTTTGGTGCCGGACGATATGACTTATCACAACAACAAGAGCCTTGGCAGCACGCCTGTAGTTTGCTGGTTTGATCGGCAATAAGGAAAGGTGGTTTAACATGATGTAACCTTGAAATACTGTGGAGACGAAGTCCTGCACCATCTAAGAAACCACGCGAAACCATTGACTGTTGGTATTTACAGGGGAAACTTCACTCCAGGGTTTCTTAGGTGGTGCAGGATGTCGTCCATCCACAGTAGGTTGTGTCCCAAAACTCTTGTTGATGCCCTGCCACACTGAATGCGCTCGGCAAGCCACGGGCCATACAAAACAGTGCGTCAGTGTATACCAGAACACACTCCCCCTCACCGAACGTCTCAGAGCATGAACTGACAATGTGGCCTCAGTCCATGCCTGAACTTTGCACTGGCTCACGGGCATGCGGTTTTGTTTTTAAGTTTATTCGTGTTGCGGACAACGTTGACACGGGAAGCGCGGTGACTACGAGGGCCCTTTTTAAGACCACGCGTGTGAGGCAGGGTGCAATCAATAGCAACCTTTCTTGAATTCTGACTAAAGGGAAACCAAAGGGGATGGGTATTTCTCACTCAGCGGGTCTATACTAAGGGTTCTTGCGGTAAGACGGTAAGACGGTAAGACTAAAGCGCCAGGGTATCAGGGTGCTCGCTTTGGGCTGCGCTTTTCGGTTGCGCAGGCTCGCACAAAAGTTCCCTCAAAGCTTGTGAGATGTTCATGTTCATTTTGACTGCGCAGGCTCGCACAAGTGCTAGGACGAATTTGGCGTCTGTCGAGGGTTTGCTCTCGCTGTGGTGCCGAGTGAATTCCGAAAGCGGCTGATTGCTGAACCATCTGCGGACTTTGAGTGTGTTTGATCGCTCTTGCTGTGGTGTGGTGGAAATTTTTAGCATTGAAATCAACCCTCTGCGGACTTTGAATGTGTGAAATCGCAATTGCTGTGGCGCGGTGCGCGTTTAGAACATCGGACGTGAGCCCTCCGCAGACTTCGGGTGGGTCCGGTCAGTCTCGCTGTGGTGGAAAATGCAATCATGGAAGTACTGTACCCGCAAAGGCCCTTGCAAGAGATCTTGTAGAGAGTACTCTCTACAGACCCTGGACGGATAACTTTAACGGAGCATCCTCTCACAAGAGATGCCATCAAGAGATCTTGCGCAGAGAGCCTTCAAACATCCTCCCAAAGATATGTCGCGCCCGTTCTTCATAGAGAGCCTCTGAACAGATCTTGCGCAGGTCCTGCAACAGGTTCATGTCGAGAGATCGTGTGGTGTTTGATTGAAGAGCGCGTGCAAGACCTTGTATAGAGACGCTGTGGGGTCATTTCAGCACATTCCGTGTAGAAGCAGGTGTGCATCTGCTATTACGTCTACTTTCATGTACCTGCGTGATCCTGCGTGGATTCCTGTCGCACTGTTTGGCGTCACTTGCCAGGATTCTAATTTTGCAAAACCCGGCAGAGAGTTTTGCTGACATGCTTCGGCAGGCTGTTCGGTGGGACTCAGGCATTAACGCGCTAGTCCGAACATTTAGAGAGGAGCGGGGTATGTTTTGAAGCCATATCTAGGGTTGTTGGCGTCAGTTGATGACAACTTGAAAGATCTTGGAAAATCATCTTATGGGCGTTCATTTACAGCCATTTGCAGGGGAGACGACCAAAGTCTGATATGATCTGACAGCTTCCTAAAGCATTGGGCAGTCTTCCCAAGATAGGTGCTTCCAAGAACAGGGCAGTTTTGACATGTGTGCAACATGTGGATGTAACCATTTCCTGGTCCTTGAAGATCGAACATGGTTGGCAAAATACGGTTCTTTTTGGACCCCCTTGCTTTGTGGCGCCAGCTCCAACAAGGGCCACTGGCCCCTGCCACATGTTGCAACCCAAGTTGGCTGCATATCTTGAGGAGTCCCGCTATGAACGGTTTCATGTTGGTTTTCCTGATCAGCCCCCAAAAACGTGCAGCCCCAAAATTTGGACACCCCCCAAGCAATCCTTCTCCCCCCCCAAAAAAAAACCGAGGAACGCGGTGCGCATCGAGATGGGCCCAGAGCTCCGGCCTCAGGCTGCCAGAGCGAGAGATGCAGGGAATGAGTTGGATGGAGTGACCCCCCCTCCAACAAAAACCAACCCCGATTTGGTTTCCGCCCAAACTTCCTCGCTAACTTTTCCCTAACTTCCTTGCCGGAGTGAGAAATGGAATGACCCCGAACAAAACCATCCAACTGGTGGTTTCTTAGGGGACCAAAGCCTGGGTTTATTCCCACATGCCCCGCCTATCGCACCAGCAAGTTTATTGGGCCTAAACAAAAAGAGCTCGAACAAAACCAGGGTCGACCCTCATCCTCTGCTTGCGGAAGGCATTCTCCGAATTTTCAGCAGTTGGTGTTTGGGGCCTAAGTGATGCTCTCAGAGTTCTGGACCTGAGAACGGTCCCGGCCCCATGCCGAGGTACTTCGAGGAAGTTTTGAAGAACTGCCAGGACCTCATTGAGAGAAGGTACGAGATCAACAGGCCATCCGGGGTTTCGGAAGGGCAGAGACCTCCACTCGAATTGGTGAGGCCAGTTTGTTGTTGGATGTTGCAAGGGAACCCAAAGCAACCTTTTTAGGGAGTCCTTATCCTCTAGTTAGGAAACATTTGCTTTAATTCATGATACTTTAAGTAGAGGTCGGAGAGCTTTGTTTTGTTCCATCAGTTCACCCGGAGGCTCAAGAAACGGGTCAATCACTTTGGCGATTTTTGGGCGGCCCACGGTAGATCTTATCAAGCACGCTTGGAACAGGTTTACTATCGTCCCTTTGGCCTTTATTTTCCTTGGGCGTCAAAGGCTGAGTACATGTTGTGTCTTGCTTGCGCCGCCGAGGACCCCCAAACCAGCCGCAACCAAAGCGGCAATGCTGGGCTTTTACCCCAAACCAAATCCGTCGCTGTTGAATGTAGTTGGAGCCCAAGAAAGACTATTTGAATGCAGGCTCTCGAGTGAGCACGCTAATCCTTCCGTGAATTGGTAGGCTGTCCTAATCTTTTCCTTGTTTCCTCAAGGTTCTCTTTTGGCATCCCCGAAAGTGACCACAAAAAGGATATGCTGACGTGTGCGCGGGCAAATGAGCATCAATGTATCACAATTCCCGCAAGTCTCTCGAGGTTCCTCCCGAGTTCCAGTTGTGGCTATAGGAAGACAGAAGAACCATTCAAAACCCAGTACGAAGGCCCCAGTGCTTTGCCTGGAAGCACCGGCTTTGATTCAATTGTCACTTTCCATGTTGGCTTCAGCCAAGCCAGGGGCTAGGGGCAACCATGTAAAAGGTTTTACCATCCAAACCAGGGGAAAACCACGCAAAAGACGGATAGCCTGACGGCCTGAAGTACTACCCCAGGCAGGTTTTACAGAAAAGACATGCAAGAAAACAGGCGTTGGGGGGCGCGGGAGGATTTTGGATGTTGGGAAGCAGACCCAGCGTAGCTCTCAAACACCTCGTTTCGGCTTCGAGCGCGGCAAGCGGCGCCAGTGCGAACCCCGGCGGCGCCTCCTTCGAGAAGGTGGCCAAGGCGCGAGCTGCACTGACCCGAATCGATGCGCAGCCCTTTTTTGGGTGCAGGTTTTGAGCGTGTTGGGGTTGTTTTTTAGAGAAGTCTAAGGGAAAGCCACCCAAAACTGGGGTGGGTAACTCTATGAAGACAAGCCCCTCAAATTTGTACAGTGTGTGTGTGGGTTGGAAAGCTCTTCACCTTTGTTTGAAGGGACACTAACACAAACAAACACACCCATTTGGGGGTCCCCTTATTTTCACACCTCAGCTTAAACCTCATCTTTTGATTTGCCTATTCTGATTGAGCTTGTGGAGTGACGTGTGATGGCACATTCGGAACCCTGGATGCCCATGGGTTTCTAATTGAAATTTAGGTTTGGGAGTACATTCAACTTTCCCAGGCGCTTCGATGCGACCAAGGCCACACCAAACACTATTTAAGAATCATTGTCTGCTGCTTTACATAGTGCAATTTGCTGAGCATGCTGCATAATACTCATATATATACACGTATTTTATTTACCCATAGTGTATATAACCTGGCCAGACAACAGTTGAGTTTGCGGAAGGTTAAGCGCAATTACAACCCTTCCGCCTAGGATCCTTCAGGAAGAGACCTATGGTCGTGTGCAGGGTCAGTTTTGGACCCGCGAAGCTTTTAGTTATTATACTTTACAAGAGCATAATAATTGAAAGTCCCACGCCAGCCACGCAAAGCACACTTGTTGATTCGATCCGCGGCTTTCCTGCCAGTGTCTTTCCACAGCAGCCAAGAAGCGTAAACTTTTGTCTGACTGAAGTGTATACATACATATATATATATATATGTATATTTGAATGCAGTGCTAACCCACCCTCCAGGGCCCATTGCAAATACCAGTTTGCTTCGTTGCTAACATAGTTGTGCTGAATAACACACAGCAAAAAAGCTATCCACGCCATGAACCAAAATCAGTCCACATCCGCGTTCTATCAAGTCGCGCAGCATTCAAAAGCGATCATTTGTTTTGGGTTTGAGCAAACACCACTGAATTAAAGCCAATACCATGCAACACGTGCAAGGTATTGGCTCTTTGTGTTAATCCGCAATGTTGGGCAGCTCGAAGATCCAAACCATACACAAGGTCCAGAGCCTCTCTCGCCTCTCTGTTGTTTTTGTCCCAGCATGCTAAAGCCGGCACACGGACCACGAACAAGTGCAATTGTGGAGTACTGACAGGTCCAACAACTGCACAGGCAAACCAACTGGCAAGTTCTGGATGGCTGACAAGAAGAACAACGCTTGAAGAACAGAAGAGCCTGGTCCAGTAGTTTTGTGTCCATATGTGTACAGTACTGTGGCGGTTCATGAGCTTTAGGCTCCAGCAGTAG